TATTGTAATTATAATTACATAATAAATAATTAATCATTTAAAAATTAATTATAAGAATAAAAATTGTTACAAGGAAAAAGAAAACAATATAAATATATTTTTCTATAGTAGTACCATGACGAACAAATATACTAATAATTAAATACTTCCTTAATGGAATCATAACATCTTGTAGCATCTGGCAAATAAAATTTTTCATAGACAAGCGGGAAAGGTATGCTAAAAAACATTTAAAAATAATTAAAAAACCATCAACAAATTAATTTGATTAACTTTTTAAAATCAATGTTACTTACTCCCAACCACAGACTCGTTGAATAGGTGCCTCAAGTCTTAAGAAACATCTTTCCATAATAGTGGCAATAACTTCAGCAGCAAAACCAGATGTTTGAGGTGCCTCGTGAGCAATTACTAATCTACCAGTTTTATTTACCGAGTTTTCAACAGTCTCACTATCCCAAGGCAAGATTGATCTCAGATCTATCAACTCGCATGATAGACCAGGAATCTCTTTCTCTATTCGTTCTATTGCATTCTCAAGAATATAAATTTGTGATCCATAACCAACCACTGTAACATCTTTTCCTTTTTTGAGAATTTCCGCTTTTCCTATTGGTAATTCATAATCTCCAGTTCGCTGATTATATATTTCCTGCTTTTGATCAAGTAAACTCAATTAATTTGCATATACACATTGTTGATTCCTTAACATTAACACAACCCATTTATATATATAGTTGGTAAATGAAGCAGCTAAATATCGATATCGTTCAGGTAGTCAATTCGATGTTGGTGGTTTAACAGTTAGAACGCCTTGTTCGGCTGTTGGTCACGGTGGTCATTATCATTCTCAAAGTCCAGAAGCTTATTTTGCTCATACACCTGGTTTAAAAGTAATTACAATCATATTTTTTATATTATAGATGGTTTTTAAATATATTTATTCATATATTTATTTAATTTAAAAGATTGTAATTCCTAGAAGTCCCATACAAGCTAAAGGACTTTTATTGTCTTCTATAAGAGATAGAAATCCTGTACTATTTTTCGAGCCAAAGATATTATATCGTGCTGCTGGTCAGTTTACTATCAATCAATCAATAAACATTATTATTGTTATT